ATTTTCATTGTCTCCATTTCCTGGACAACTGGAAACGCCGGAAAGACGAAGAATTGGTGCTTCAATCTTTTCTTTTTTATTCGCCCGATAGGCTGAATCAGTTCAAGATTGAAAGCACTTTATCATAAGTTTCCTCTTGAATTTGGCGGATTCGAAGCTATAAGTTTACAAAAGTTGGGGGTATATTTTTTCGGAGGACTAGATCACTGAAATGCTATGAAAGAGGAAATTTTAGTACGATTACAGTTGCACATATAAGTGGAAACCATTTTGGAAAATACTTTATTGGGGGTGGTTGGGGAGGAGGGGTTTTGGATTTTTCAATTGGTCCACCACGATTTTACAGATTGGGCTCTAAAATCGATTGATTTATTTACAAGACATTCTTCTTTGAAAATAAAATCTTTAAAGAGCCGACGTTTTTAAAAGCAAAACTGGAATCTTTGTTTAGCCCTGAAATTAAGATGATACAATTTTGTGAATCGACGAAGGCATTATTTCTCTTATTTTTAATTTTCCGTTCTTTATTATCAAAATTAGTACCTCCTAAATATGTATTTTCATTTTAAGAGACAACCGATTTAGAAAATTTCTGCGTATCATTGATTTCTCAAGTTTATATCGTTTGTGTTTTTTGACTCCATCATTTATTCTCGAAACTTAAGACTTTAATATAGAGAAAAGAGCAGCCCTCAATAATTGAGACTAGGATATATTGCGCTGAATTAAATATACAAAAATTCTGAAATTCTTATTATTTTTAATTTCATTTTGTCTTATACCCAGACGGTATTCGAATGTTAGCTGCTGACTGAGCGTAAAACAACGTGTATCGCATTTCTGGAGCCAGCATCGTTTAAACGTAGAGAAATTTCATACGCGCCTTGAAACTTCGATGCCTAAAACGGACCATAATTTAATATCACTTTGGAGACAAGTGCTCGACGTCAATTCATCACCATTAGTGTCATGATGGATAAACAAGATTGCCAGAGAAGCGTTGAATTCAAATTAATTTGGGATTTTTCGTTCCCTGCTTTTCCAATAATTAAATTCATTCTCGATTAGAATGAATACTTTAAAATAATATTATCGTAATTATAGATTCATGTATTTTCCCTTAATTAATACTCTAAATTTTCCTCCACCCTACTCGGAGTAATATTTTCTAATAGTAATATTTTCTTTTAAGCAAAATAGGCAACAATGCTATCTTCTTCACCCTCGGATGATAACTTTTTATGCATTATTTCTGGAGCAGCCGTCTGAGTGGATGGGTGGAGGCGTTTTAAGTGAGACGCAGTGGCGTGGCATGAATGATCGATTATCGGTATTTCCCCATTTGAAGCTGCGGTAAAGAATCGATTATTAAGGCTTCCGCTGCGAACACCATGTTTATCAATCCTTTCCCATAGGTTTAAATGACAGATCAATCGATATATCGCAAAGCACGCTACAGCATCCACCCATCAATCAACCTAACTGGATCTTCGTCGTGAACATACTGATCTAGTCATCGAGAAAATGAATTACGATGAATTTCTTATCTCGCCTGCTCACGTGGCTTTTTTATGCTCGGTTTTACGACTTTGAGCGAAGGATAACTTTAATTCTAGTCTTGTGCATCTCAATATATTGGTGGATTTATTCTGGGGAAGTATGCACGTGGGTTTAATGCGTCTCGATTTTAGAAATTGGTAGGAAGGATAAAGTTTCCAAAGCTGTAAAACGTATCACCTCGCTGCAATATCTGGTTCCAACAAGAAAACCATCGAAAGCCACTTGATGAATGAATTTTCACGGAAAAAAAGAGGTAGGGGTTAAGTCACAACTGTTGGATAAAATGGACATTTCCAATAAATTTTGGTAATTAATACCCCAATTAATTGTTGTAATACCCCGATTAATTGTGTTAGTACCAAAAAATTAGGTTACTAACCTAAATGTTGCGGTACTACCCTAACTTGAGGTACGGTACTACCACATTTTATCAGAAATGTCCATATTATCCAGCGAATTGGGGTAGTCGGTAGTACCACAATTTTAGGGGATAACCCCTCACACTTTTTTCCGTGTTGTCTCATTCTTGCAGTGCTCCCATTTCTTGGAACTAATTACGAATGCCGGAACTTTTGAGATTTTCCTGAATTTCTCCCCGGAACATTTAAAATTCCCGAGATGTTCCGGATCTTTAACATTTTCCGGAACTTTCTCGGAACTTTCTTGGAACTTTTGGAAAACGTTGGAAGGAACTCCGGAACTCTTGACGGCTATGGAGTGGGAGAAATCGGGACGAAAAAGTCCCGAATCCCGGAACTTTTGATGGACATGAAATGGGAGCTTTACATTCTCGGCAGAAACATTTACTAAAATTTAAATTAAGGTAAACCGTGATACTCGATCATTTTCTACAGGTTTAAATGACAGGTTAATGAATTCATCGCGAATAAGACACTCATTTGACAGAATGAACAACCGCCTTGTGCTAAATGGACCACTAGACAAGGTACGAATTTAAACAATCTGATACATGTTTCTTAACAAGAATTTCACGTAGAACATGATTCGTGCAACGAAATTACTGAAACCAACTCCTGACGAAGATATTAACGTTTTTATTTCACATTGGTCACGAGGAATTTGAACTGCCCTTTCACAAGAAACTCAAAGCTTTACGTGAGTCAAATCGCGCACTACAACGGTTTCAGCAAGCCTCTCAATCGAACATTTCCCACCATGTGTTGTTCAAACTATGAGCAATTTGCTATGGCTGAACCAAAATATCTAGATTGAGATTGCCAGATTTTTATATCGCACAGACATGTCATGATAACGTTTAGCCCTTGATGTGAATCACGTAGAGCATTGATTTTTCATAAGCGGATGGTTTGAATTTACGCATCAAGAATCATTAAGTAGCTTCGTAAGTAGTTGATTTTTGTAAATTTCGTTGTGCGTATCGTGTTCTACGAAACATTTGGTTGAAAAACATGTATCAGAACGCTAAAATTCGTACCTTGTCTAGTGGTCTATTCCTGCAGCTGGTAAAATTTTAGCAAAAAGGTACGATGTTCGAGAGCACAATCTGGTAGTTGGACTTGTTAACAACAGGCGCAGAGAATGAGCACGAAAATTCGCTGTCGGTAGCGCCACGCTCAAGCCCGGTGGCGGACTGGCGGATGAAGAATTGAAGTTGCAGGAGTTTAATTAATTCCGAGAAACGCTTTTTCCAAGCACTCCGGAGATAATTCTTGTCAAATGCTTATTAAAAGTTGCTTGATGAGACTTTAGAGGCAATTTAAAGCTTCTCCGAGACAAAAACATCGGGGCTTGTTCATTATCATCCGGCACTGAAAAAAAATTCTCGGCGTTTTTACCAAGGTTTGTTGGTACCTTTACTATCTCACTTTTTTTACCAATCATTGGTAATTTTACCAAGACAGCGGGGCGATTATTGAAATTTTTTGTTTGTCGGATCGACATAGATGACATAGGTTAAAAGGCGGAGCGTGATTGGTTGGTTATGTCTTAACGCTGCTTTATCGTGCCTTTGTCAGGTGGAATGATCGACAAGCTAACGGCACCTCTTAAGTTTCCGACAGTATGTCGATCATTCCACCTGACAAAGGCATGATAAAGCAGCGATAAGACATAGCCGACCAATCACGCTCCGCCTTTTAACCTATGTCATCTATGTCGATCCGACAAATAAAAAATTTCAATAATCAGGCTGCAGACTGGTAAACTTACCTAAAAACCGGTATTTTTACTGTTTTTCAGGTAAGAATACCACTTTTATTGGTAATCAGTTTCCGGTAACTTTGCCATTTTCTCTCGGTAATTCTACCATGGTCGATAAAAAATATTGGCGTTTTTACCAAGGTCCAGCAAAATTACCGAGAAGATTTCAACAATTTTACCGAGATTTCTCGGTAAAATTACCAATTCAATAAATGGTAATTTTACCAAGAAAAAACTGGGATCAAATAGAACCCTGAATTCTTGGTAATTTTATCCTTTTCTTAGTAAATACACCGAGATTTTTTTTCAGTGGGACACGCAACAGAAGGCATTCTCAAAACGGCCATGGTAGTGAGTAAAACATGGTACCATTGACGCCGAAGTGGTATCAACGTGTAGCAAGGGAGTGATGTAATCAATTTGCTCATTTGAAATATTATTGTGCGGCCTTCATGGTGGATTTACTTCGATAGCAACATGGCACCAATGTTATTTCAACATTTTATTACGATGGCACCAACGTATTCAACATATTATCACGTTGGTGCCAACGTCGTATCAAAATGTTATCAACGTGGGACAAGTGAATATAAAGGTATCGCGATGTTCGTTTGAAATATTACGGTGCTATACCTCCATGGTGGACTTACTTTGTTAGCAAATTGGTAACAATGTAGTATTCATATTTTATCACGATGGTACCGAAGTATTTAACATATTATCTTGGTGGTACCAACGTGGTATCAAAATGTTATGAATGGGATAAATAAATCAAATTATTGCTCTGTTAATTTGAAATTGAAATTTGAAGTGAGACTTCTCCACCATAGAAAAAAGCAGAATCTACTTGATTTAAATCCCACACTAAACGTTCATGTGATTTTCTCTGCGGTGTAAATATGACACAACCTCAATCTCAACGCCTCTGCTCCGATGTTGACTTTTGTTCACACTAAGAACATCATAGTGTGAGGGAGGAATACTGCTCGATTGAGAAGCTTCCGTCGAGCGTTGCAGAGCGCGATTTGAATCAAGTATAGGCTAATTTTTCTTGTGAGCAGGAAATTCAATTTTTTCATGTCCAATGCTAATCAAAAACGTTATTAATAATGGAAAATGTATTCTTGATACCTTTTATATAAGTTTATTTCTCCTATGAGGCCATTTGATTATAAACAATCACCATTATGCAGGGCACTATATCACATGTTAAATTGGTCACAAATGTTTGGTTTACCAAAAAACAAAATACCAAAACATAGAAGAAACATCATACTTTAAATTTGACAATATGAAATTAGGTTTACAAACTACAATTATCCCAAAAGGTAACAAAAAAAGGTAAAGGAGTAAAGCTCAATAAAATCAAATGCGTGATCAAAATCAGTACCTCATCAGCCAAATCTTAATGATCTGTTCCCTTCCTTGGTTTACTTGAAGGTGGGGATCTAGATCCCCTATGTTCTCCGCCTAGAGATGGGCAGCTAGATCCTCTTTATCGCTCTCCACCTAGAGATGGGGACTTTTATTTAAATCCCCTTTGTTCTCAACCGGGATATGGGGATCCCCTTCACTCTCTATACCTGGAGATGATGACTGCTCTTCCTCCCTTTGGGTGATCAGTCTTACTGATCTGTTCCCCTCCTCGCTTTACTTGGAGATGGGGATCTAGACCCCTTTTCCTTTTTACCCGGAGATGGAGATCTAGATCCTCTTTGTTCTCTACCTGGAGATGGAGATCTAGATCCCCTCCGCTCTCTACCAAGAGATGGCGATATGTATCTCCTTGACTCTCTCCTAGGAGATGATGGCTGTTCTTCCTCCCTCCGGATAAACGGCGATCGCTTCAAAGCCTTCAACCCCATTTTCGACGATTCATCTTTCGTATGCTTTGAGGGTTCGTCATCGGGACAATGAATTACTAAGTACGGAAAATCTGCTTGCTGCTCTCTTAGCCATTTACAGCTCGCAGATCCGCCTTTTGCAAACAAGCGATTGAATTCTCTCTTGTCCAAAACCATCTGCACTTTAGCCGATACTATGCTATCGCAAAAACATATACATCTCCCGGATTTCGGATGCCGGTACCCGCCCATCGCGATCGATCGCACGACAAATTTACCATCCGGTTCGTGCTCTCTACCGAAGTTGATGACACCCATCGTGCCGATGCAGATCGCTGTACAGTTCCCTTTTGTCAATTCCGAATCCTCTTCGATTGATTTCGACGGCACGCTTTCGTGAAACGAGACCATCTGTACCCTGAAACCGTTCCGCTGTAACCACCGCGTGGCCATCTTCCTGCTATGCTGGTGGTCTCTGAAATCGGTTTCGTTTCCACCCGCGGTCCTTATGGCGTGATATAAACCGCCACTGAATACGCAGTTACACACGTGCCCTCCGTCATCGCTCTCCTTAAAGTGTCCAGTTTTCATCGGAACAGGCGGAAGTCCTCCTCCTCGGAAGGCGATCCCACCGTGCGTCTGACACTTTTCATTGCACTCAGCGGCGGTTTTCGGCTCTGAAATCAATAGTAGTATAAATATATCTATAAATAAATCAGGTGACCGAACTCTCTGTTTACGATATTATCAGTCCGGCCCGAGCCGTGTAACGGATCTATCAGCTTCATTTTCCTTTTTTAAGCGCTCAGCCGATAGGCAGCGCTTTTTGATTTCGACTTGCCTCTAGAGTACTAGTACACTAGTGCTAATTCGTTTAAATGGCGCACCAGCTCATCGATGTGTAGGCTTTTTGGGGGGGTCCAGTTTTAAAACAAATAAAGTTGTGAAAACCGTATTTTACGATTTTAACGTAATGCGCAGGTAGTTTCGATCGTTTGTTTATAAGAAAATTTCTTATCGGTAGAGTAATTCTTATCGAAATTGATCGTTGAACTCAAATGAAGCCTAAAAAAACGCGCCTGATGCGCTCAACGGTGACTATCATTTTCGGGAAACGAAAAAACACGTTTACACTTTCCTTGCTAACCTTTGTTTGCTATCAGCTGATGTTTTATTTCCATTACCCAGCCAAGTCGACGGAGTTTATACTTCCTTTCTTCACTAAATACATTGACTAACACCTGAGCGCTTTTCTATACGACAGTATTAGAACTTTCCCACTTGTTTTAAAATTTGTCTGATGATGGGAGCTGTTCAGCCCCGGAACGTCCCGTAATAAGTTTTAAACTTGTTATGTTTAGCCTTGAGCCTGTACCTATTTGGTGTTTCTTGTATGTAATATTCTCCGAAACTAACTTTCAAGCTCAAAGAAAACTCTCAAGTTGAGGCCAAAATGGCAAAATTAAAAATACTCAATTTTTATACAGTTTTAAAATTTACACAATTATTTTCCTTTCAAATTAACAATTTTTTTGGTGGGAAGCAAAAACTATTTGCTCTACTGGGAGATTTTTTTTATAATTATGAGGGAGCAACATTTATAAAACACTGCAATCGCACTGGTTCCTTCTTGCTATCTGCGATCCAATTTTAAATGACCCGCTCTTAAAATCAATCATTTCGGATCGTTACTAGAATCTAGATTTTCTCGTATGAGTCTAGACAAATTACCCACGGCACAGATCTCTATTTACTATTCGCATTTCATTTGTAAATTTTCATGAACTACCTTTGAGAAGTTTGTTCGCAGTTTTGAATCCGAAGACCACTAGTAAAGGGCATGACCCCATTTTTATAACCTGACATTCAGTTTTGCTATCTTCACGAACACAGTAAGAAAGAGCGGCCTAAATCTTTGGTTATTATTTGAAGTAAAACAACAGGAGACACAAGCTATCGGTTGATTTTGTGTGTGTCAGGTTTTCCTGCGTCAAATCTACCAAATCTTTTGGGTTAAGGTGACCAAAGCTTTGTGTTGAAATTCTGCGACCTTACTGATGAGGAGTCGTCAGAACTTGGATCACATTGGTGGTACACGGAGAAAAAAACTTCGTGCGTGGGACCCGAAGTTGAGATCATATGGATCTCTGAAGTTTTTGGATCACGTGTCTAAAAACTTGAGGTCCAACTGCCGAAGTTTAGGTCAGACATGTGAAGTACTTCGATCTCTATCGAAGGGCTCGGGTCACACATCTCAAGTAATCCGATACATACCGAAGTGTCTCGATGTCTGATTCGAACTTCGGCAGCTCGACCTCAAGTTTTCGGATGCGTGATCAGAAAACTTCAGAGATCTAAATGACCTCAACTTGGGTCCCATGCACGAAGTTTTTTTCTCCGTGTATTACAATGCGCTAGACGCTCGCTAGTCTTAAACTTTGAGTATAAGGGAAAGCAAGAATACACAAGTTCGACAGTGCATTTCTTCGTGATCACAAAAACCTACAGTTTGGGTTGATTTAACACACTAAAAAACTAACACAAAGCAACATAGTGTTCCACTAAACACGGAAATTTTTAACTATGTATCTGAAAAAATTCACAAGAGGGGCGTTTTACTTTATAATTGTAGATTTTCTTAAGTGATTAAGTCAAGAAAATCTGGGCCGTGGTGTTTTAGGGATGAAAATAGAGTTGGTTTACCCGGAAAATTAGTGGCAACTGGTTCTGCGAATAAGTTTTTAGAGTCTCTGCTGTTCGACCAAAATGGACATACAACTGGACCCACGAAAAGAAGGCTCCCGATGATCAGGTTGCTAAGCACTGACATTACGCGCGCGGCTACATTTATGATACGTTTACGGTGAATCGAACTGTTCAGACTGTCGCGTTTTCATCGCAACAACGACGAAAGTAAAACAAGGTTAATTTTTAACCCTATCCCAATGGAAGCTGTGAAACATTTGTCAACACCAGCGCACTTTTACATGTGGGTATCGAGATACATCATGCGGAACAAAGTGTACATTTGACTTGTGGTCTGAGTGACGCAGCTCAGAAAAAAGTAGCATTGAAACAGCTGCTGTGCAACTTCATAATGAGTTTCAAATCAGGAAAAAAATTCTCGTTTTCATTTTCATACAGCCTGCTAAGGCAGGTTTTCCTTAAGTGATGTCACCTCAATTAAAATTGTTGATACTTCATCGATCGAGCAGACATTTCTTTACCTGAACATGCACGAAACAAGGCTACTCTCCAGAATCCAGTAGGTCCTAATCAACATCTCATCAGTTCAATCGTCCTAACCGGAATTTCAAAAGTGATGGAATCCTACCAATGAAAACAAAATTTACTGCAAGATATGACACTACCTTACACCTTTCCATCGAATAGCCCCCACCTTTGCATGACACTTATCTTGTTGTTGCACATTTTCATTATGTCTTATCAATAGGAATTATTTTTGCTATTGTGGGAGGAGTTATTTATTGATTTCCATTAATCTTGGGCTTAACATTAAATAATTATAGCTTGGTGTCTCAATTTTATATTATGTTCATTGGAGTAAATTTCCACCTCCTTTCCAAACGAAACAAATTTTATTTCATAAACAAGGTGATCCAGTGTTAAACGGCCAGACTGTAGGCGCCGAAGCACCCCCAAACACCCCTTTTAAGTGATTCGACGGACGCCATTTTTTGTGTCAGAGCGACATGCGATATATCGGATCAATTTGTTCCATCATTTCAGCTACTTGTCATTCGAATTTTGAAATCGCCTTTCTGTTGCCATGAGACTAAAGAATTCATGTACCAAATTTGGCAAAGACAATCAACGTAAGAAAGGCAGGGTTTTTTTAGAAGAAAAATATCGCATTCGAGGGCAGTTTTGATATCAGTAACAAATGCGATATTTTTCCTTTAAAAAAACCCTGCCTTTCTTACGTTGAATTCTTTGTAGAATTTGGTGCATAAATTCTTTAGTCTTATGACAACAGAGGTGCGATCTCAAAATTCGAAAAAAATGGCAAGTAGCTGAAATTATGGAATGAATCGATGCGATGTATCGCACGTCGCTCTAACATAAAAACTGGCGTCTGTTGAATCACCTTAAATTGAAATTTCGATTTTTTTAGATCATGTATGAATTCAGGGCATAAAAGTACAGGAGAGTACACATTTTCATGAGATGGGGCTCATAACCGTTGCCCAATTTCAGGAAAAACGATTTACTTTCCGATTTTTTCTTTTTTTTTTTGGGGGGGGGGGGCGTAGCTCCGACTGGACTTTTAGAAAAAAACTTTATGAAACAAAAAAGTCTTATTTCGACTCATAGCCCACGCTCCTGCAGTCTGGCATTTCAACCCTGTATCACCCTGTATCATCGGTGGATCCAGCAAATTGGCAACATTTTATTTTCTCCGTTTACACCTATGGAAATGTATCGATTCTTGGAGGGGCCAGAATCTCCGACAAGAATCGATTATTCAGCATAGTATAATGGAGGCAATCCGATGTTGCCAAATTCCTGGATCCGCCTCTGTACATATATGTAATTGAGACAATACGTTGAAAAAAATAACAACGAGTTATACATTGCAAGGCGATCTGAGCTCAGTGCCACGTCAATAAATCATCAAGTTTTTATGGTCGACCGCGTTAAAGGGAGCATGCTATGCGTGTTGCCGCTGGCGCAGGGGGCCTCGGGAGAAAGTCAAGCCACATACACCACGGATGGACTATTGTTCCAGGAATTCGACCTGGGCACCTGTTGAACGTTCATCCCCACCCTTGCCACCACCCTCTCACCGCGACTGCCGACACGCAAAATCAACGCTCGACCCGGGGGACCACTCGATGTTCATATTTTATACTGCAGGTGAATTGCTTTCACAGGTTAAGCCTCGGTTCCACGGGAGGGCGCGACACAAAACTACCCGCGCGAAATGGAGATGTTGCATGTGCGAGGAATTTTCGATTTGACTGTTAATTCTTACGTAAAAGTTCGCGAGAAACACGATGGTGCCACTGGTTTTCTCTGAAATCAACTCCCAAGCTCAAAAAAGCTCTCAAGTTGAGGACAAAATGGAGGGGATATCCCACGCTATCCTGAGAGTCCACCTCTACATCAAGACGAACTCTCCATGCAAAGATAGGGAGCAAATACATTAGCAGGGTTGCCGTGTTTTCAGTTTTAGAGTCCCCAAATAAAATGGCAGCTCTGTCAATGTATTTGCTCCCTATCTTTGTATGGAGAGTTTGTCTCGATGTAGACGTGGACGCTCAGGATAGCGTGGGATATCCCCTCTATTTTGGCCTCAACTTGAGAGTTTTTTTTGAGCTTGGGAGTTGATTTCAGAGAAAACCAGTGGCACCATCGTGTTTCTCGTGAACTTTTACTTAAGAATCAACAGTCAAATCGCAAATTCCTCACACATGCACCATCTCCATTCAAGACCCGCGGCTGCAGTGGATCGAGTCAATGTTAGATGTCGGGCAAAATTTGGAAACTTTGTACGCTCATAACTCCATTTATACGAAACGTTAAGGTTCTAAAAGTGGCTATGGCTTTCTCATGAAATTCTCTTCTAGAGACACCCCTTGAAATTTAAAACGTGACGGAATTAACATCAAAATTTGCAGTGTTAGTCAACAATTTCACGTCCGAACTCTCTGATTGACTCGATCCACTGTGCCGTGGCGGAGAACCAGGTGCAATGATTTCAAGCACAGAGATGGAAACCAGGTGCAATGATTTCAAGCACAGAGATGGAGTGACCTTCCGCACTCCACTTGTATCTTTGCAATAATGAGATCTTTCCACGGTGCGCCTAAAGTGACTAATTACGGAAGTTGAAGGTATACAGAAAATTCAAGTTGGAGACTGTAGGGGGAACTTTTTGATGTGCTTTTGGCCAATTTTGAGATCTGATTTACTTATAAGTTTTCCATTTTTAATTCGAATTTAATCCCTTTTAATTTGAAGTGTTGTTGTTGTTGCTATTCATATTTATCAATAGGTGCTTTAACAAAGCTGGGACTTTAACATCGAGAGCAGAGATCCTAGCGGATAAAAATCTGTGAATATGTGTTTGTAGGAAGTTTTCTTAGCTTTCAAACAATCGAACTTTCTTTTTTTTCCAATATATTGAGGTTCCTCAGCAGAGGTCTCTCCACTCCGTGGGTCCAAATTATCGAAATGAATTGAAATTTAATACTTCATTACTACGTCAATTAATAATAATTTGATACTTAATAGAAGTGTGTCTTATTTTGTTTGTGGGTTTGTGTACACAGGAAAAGGATATAGGGCTAGAGAGACAATAAAGGATATTACCTGGTTCAAGTAATTTTCCCTTTAGTTATGCTTACATTTATTCTATTTTATATATTCAACTTAGGATATCTATGTAGGTTTATTACCACTATGACATACAGAGTACAAATGTCCGTTAATATAGTTCGACGAATTGTGTTCTACACGAAATTTTAAAAGGAAGTCCAATTGAGAATGCTTGAATTCGTGATCCGTCTGGTGGTCTATTCTCATCTTTTTTGCATCTTCACTAGGGAGCTGATTATTGTAATTTATAGACAAAGCTATAGACAAAAAGACATAGGGAGTATGGAGCGATTCTTTCCGCTGAAATGAGTGCTTCTCATAAACCAAGGAGGGAGATGATGGACTAACTGTAGGGTCTCTTGTGGGTTGCCGTTAGTTAGTCTATTACCTACTTTCTCTGTCCTTTTAAACCACCCATTTCAACCAAAAAGATAGAGTCATTTTTCCTTGTCTCTTATGTCTATCGTTTTGTCTATCAATTACAATAAGCCCGCAGTGGGCTGATTATTGAATTTGATAGACAAAGCTGTAGACAAAGAAGAAAGAAGACATATAGAGGGATTCTATGGGTGGAAGCGAGTGGTTGCAATGGACTAAGTAACGGCAATCCATGAGGGACCCGTAGTCCATCATTTTCTCCCTTAGTTTATGGGAACCACCCATTTCAACCACCAAGATCAGCGCACATTGTATTGCACAATGTCTAAAAGGTAGTAGCGCTGAATATATTGGTATGCAGGGTGTAGTCAAGTGCTAGAATTAATGTAACAATTTTATTAAAAAAAAAAAAAAAAAAAAAACACTTACATTTTATTATTAAACTTTGACCGAAGCTTTTCGAAGTAAGCGCTTCAACGTCAGAGACACAAAGTATACATCACGAAGGTCATAACTTAATGTCAGACAAGGGAACATATTTCATTGGTAAAAATTGATAACAGATTAACAGATGATCTTTTAATCTACATTTTTATAAAATTGTTACATTATTTCTAGCACTTGACTACACCCTACATACCAACATCTCAACCAATAGGATAGCTCAATACTCCCTACGTCTTCTTTGTCTATCGCTTTGTCTATCAGTTTCAATAATCGGCCCGCGGGAGATTACACTGAAAAAAAAATTCTCGGTGTTTTTACCAAGGTCCGTTGGTACCTTTACCATCTCACCAATTATTGGTGATTTAATCAAGACAGACTGGTAAGCTTACCTAAAAACCGGTATTTTTACTATTTTTTTCAGGTAGGAATACCACTTTTATTGGTAATCAATTCCCGGTAACTTTGCCATTTTATCTCGGGAATTCTACCATAGTCGATAAAAAATACTGGCGTTTTTACCTAGGTCCAGTAAAATTACCGAGAAAGTTCAATAATTTTACCGAGATTTCTCGGTAAAATTACCCATTCCATAAATGGTAATTTTACCAAGAAAAAACTGGGATCAAATAGAACCCTGAATTCTTGGTAATTTTACCCTTTTCTTAGTAAATACACCGATATTTTTTTTTTCAGTGTAAGATGCACCTGCCGACTATAACAACAATCAGTCCTCATTATCTGCTCCCCTTCTTTGTTTACTTGGAGATGGGGATCTGGTTCCCTTCGAATCTCTACCAGAAGATGATGGCTGCTCATCCTCCCTCTGAATGGCTAACATTCGCCGCAAAGTCTTCTTGGTTGGTGGCCTCTGTAACTTCAGTTCACTTGAAGGCTTTGCATTTTCCGCGTGCTCCGGGGAGTCATCAGGGCAGCTGACTTTGGGTTTGAATTCTTCATTGTCCCGTAACCATTTACAGCACGCAGATCCGCCCTTCTCGAATTCCTTAAAAAATTCTTCGACGCTCAATCCAGCGGCCTTTACGATCTTACCCACCGCCAAATTCATTTTGCACTTGCACTCCCACCCGTCCTTCGATGGTGTCGCGTTCCCCTCGGCGATCGCTTTCCATTCAGGACCGTCCATTACGCAACCCCTAGAGCGTCGGCATTTCGACTTACAACTCTCTGGTGTCATCACCGGATCTCCATCCGATTTTGAAGGTAACGTGTCTTCGGAGAATGAGACCCGTTTTGTCCTGAATCCGTTCTGCTTTAACCATGCTCGAGCCTCCTTAATGTTATGCTCGTGCTTTTTAAAATCTTCTTCGTTGCGACCCCTCTCCTCGATGAGGCTGTATAAAGCACGGCTGAATTGGCATTTGCATACACGCTTTCCGCTTTTCTTCTCAAAAACCCCAGTCTTAATCGGTACAGGCGGGTGTCCTTCTCGGATGACACGCCCACATTTCGACTCGCACTCTTTCGTGCATTCGTGCTCGGTTTCTGGCTCTGAAATCGATAGAATTGAAAGAAGAATGTAAGTAAGTAGATAGGTGGAACATGGTGTTAAGGTGATTCGATGGACGCCATATTTTGTGTCAGAACGACGTGCGATATATCGCATCGATTGGCTCTATTTTTTCAGTTACTAATCATTTTTCTCGAATTTTGAGATCGCAATTCTGTTGTCAGGAGACTAAAGCACTCTTTTTCCAATTTTTAAAAACAAGGTCAACGTAATAAAGGCGTGGTTTTTTTTTAGAAAGAAAACATCGCATTAGATACTGATATCGAAACTGCACTCGACTGCGATATTTTCTCTCTAAAAAAACCAAGCCTTTATTACGTTGAATTTCTTCCTTAGAATTGGTAAGTGAGTGCTTTAGTCTCCCGACAACAGAATTGCGATCTCAAAATTGGAGAAAAATGACGAGTAGCTGTAAAAATGGAACCAATTGATGCGATATATCGCATGCCGTTCTGACACAAAATATGGCGTCCATCGAATCACCTTAATATGAGTGTGAACAGAATCAGCTCCACTGCGCTTCACATTGCCTACATTTCTCTCTTTATGTCCGACCTCTCCTAAATCCAACTTCGCACGCTGGAAATGGAGTCCGGAAAATGGTCCATCGGTGTCGCCGTTGAATGATGCGTGTTGACCCTCGAACCCCATTTTCCGTTATTGTTCACTTCATACAAAAAATATTACGAATTTGTACAAATTTACAATTTTTTTTTTACAAAAATACGAGTAACTTTAAAACTTAGGCGGTTATTTTATGAACAGAAGTGAAATGATGACTGATTAGCCCCGATCTCATCGATCGCTGAAAATTGCGTGTTGAGGCCCATACTTTTGGCCCATTCTGCAATACGGAAATATAGTAGCCTCGATCTTGACGCTTTGGCTCAGCTATAGCAAATTGTTTACATTTTGAACGGTAAAGGTTGGGAAAGGAACAGGGCTTGATTGAGAAGCCTGCCGAAACCGCGGTTGTAAGGCGCGATTTGACTCGCGAAGAGTTTTGAGTTTCTTGTGACTGGGCAATTCAAATTTCCCGTAACCAATGTAAAATTAAAACGTTAATACCTTTGTTAGGAGTTGGTGTCAGTAATTTTTAATGCAAGAATCGTGTTTTACATGAAAATCTAGCTAAAAAAAATATATCAGAGAGATTCAATTCGTACCTTGTCTAGTGGTCCATTCTAGATTTTTGGAAGTGAAAAAGCCAAGCAAATCTGGAATGTGAAGTCCCAGCAGCTTGATTGTTGAAATTTTGTGATTGTCGGGTAGGCATAGATGACTTAGAGCGTATGATTGGTCGGTCTTATCGCTGCTCTATTGTGCTTTTGTCGGGTGGAACCCACGACAAGCTAAAGGCATCTCTTAAGTTTCCGACAGTATTTCGTCCACTCCACCCCACAAAGGCACGATAAAGCAGCGATAAGACATATCCGACCAATCACGCTCCGCCTTTTAACCCATGCCATCTATGTCTACCCGACAAACACACAATTTCAACAATCAGGCTGCTGATATGAAAATAAAGTTGGTTTACCTGGTGAAAAAGAGGCACCTGCACAGAGATTGGTAGAGTGGTTGGTCGAGTCCTTGGTCAAGCCGTTGGTCGAGTCGTACGTCGAGCCTTTGGTCGAGTCGTGCGTCGAGCCTTTGGTCGAGTCGTGCGTCGAGCCTTTGGTCGAGTGGTGCGTCGAGCCTTTGGTCGAGTGGTGCGTCGAGCCTTTGGTCGAGTCGTGCGGCGAGCTTTCGGTCTTGGAACTCCACAATCGCGGACACACAGCTGGACCTATGAGAACAAGGCTCCAGATAATCAGGTTCCTGTGCACATACATTAAGCGGCTACATGAAAAACACGTACACGATAAATGGAACTGTTCAGACTATCACGTTTTCACCGAAACAATGACGAAAACCAAAGAAGGTTAATTTTCAACCGTGCCCCAATCGAAACTGGGAAACAGTTGTCAACAGTAGCGCACTTTTATACGTGGGTATCGAGATACATCACGCGGAACAAAATTAAATTTGACTTGTGGTCTGAGTGACGCAGCTCAGAAAAAAGTTACAAGCTGCAGTGCAACTTCATAATGAGTTTTAAATCAGGAAAAAAAATCCCGTTTTCATTTTCATACAGCCCGTTACGCCATGTTTTTCTCCAAAATTGCATGGCATACGTAACAGATGTCCCTTCATAAGAAATTCGTAATGCTTCGTTTATCGAGCAGCTGAATCTTTACACGAACATGCGTCCAACGAGGCTACTTCCCAGAATGCAGTAGGTATTAAAAAGTAACTCTTTCATTGCATCCATTAGAAGTGATAGGATTCTTGCGGCACAAACACTACTTGGGCCGTCTCTAAATTACGTAACTCAATTTTTCGGTATTTTTTACCCCTCTATTCCTTGTCACGCTCTTGTGACGTCGGTCCTTATCCTATAAGATGAAAAAACGAAATCGCGTAACGCTCTTCTTGACGTCCCCTTCTCTCTTAGAGCGACACGTAATATGAATCAGTGAGAACGAAAATACACCAACTCGATAACTCGGAAATGCTACACTTTCATTGAAGATAGTCAGTTTTTAAAAAAGGTCATTATAGCTAGCGCATCTATTCCATCTTGAACCTTTAAAATGTCCATTAGTGTTTGTCTTTCGGCACCAAAAATCTTTTTCTTGGACTAAATTCTACATCCACTGTGCAGTTTTGTCCATGTCTTGATTATTTTCATTTTTCCGAGTTGGTGTGTTTTCGTTCTCACTGATTGATTTAGGCACGGCCCCTCATTGCAATAAGACATGACAAAGTCTTCCATCAATAACCTCCCTTTCTATACAAAGCAAATTTTATGAAATATTTGTAAATAAAACAAAACGCTAAAAAACCAACGAGTCGAAATGAAATACATTGCAAGGCGATTTGAGCTGGGTGCCAAGTCAATGAATCATCAAGTTTTTATGGTCGACCGCGGTGAGGGAAGCATGCTATGCGTGTTGCCGCTTGTGCGAGGGGCCTTGGGAGGAACCAATAAGCCACATACACCACGGATGGACTATTGCTCCAGGAATTCGACCTGGGCACCTGTTGAACGCTTACCCCTTGCCACCATCCTCTTGCAGTCTCGCAAAATCAACGCTCCACCCCGGGGACCACTCGATGTTCATATTTTATACTGCAGGCGAATTGCTTTCACGGGTTAAGCCATGGTTTCACAAAGTGGACGACGCAAAGCTGCCCGCGGGTTGACTGTTCTGCCGTGCTAAGGAAGAGCGCCGAGTGAACATTCGAGAGTTGCAAAATTCCCTTCGATAAAATTTTTATTTTTGAGGAAAGTTACGAAAAGTTTCCTTGAAATTTTCAAGAGCTGTAGGTGAATTGCGATCAAAATTATCTGAAAAGTTATAAAAAAATATTTATAAGTTTACTAGGAAATTCGTGTTTTATTAGAGAAAATTTGGCAAAGCCTGAAGGTTCATACGGCGATCTTCCTTAGCACGGCAGTGTTGGCCCATCTATTAGTTGGCTTATAAGCTTCGATCGACGCAATGTGCAAGACTAACTAACTAGCTAACTAACTAATAAGTCGCTCTTACAGCGCTTCGTGCACTTTGCGACACCCAACCGCCACTGACAGCGATCTTGCCGAAGCTCCTCCGGCAGATCGCATGTCGCATCACCTCACTTCCTGCCTTGTGCAAGACAAGTTTACTGAAATTCGACCTCTTTGCTAAACTAGATGTCTGCACGTTGCTACGTAGGCAACTATTGAGCAATGTTGCCGTGCTAGGGAAGAACGCCGTGTGGATATTCGAGAGTTGCCAAATTTTCCCGGATAAAACGTATATTTTTTAAGAAATTAATGCACATTTTTTATTGAAATTTTCAGATATTTTAGATTAAATTGCGTACAAAATAGTCTGAAAAATTGGAAGACTTATATTTAAAATTTCCCCCAGAAATTCTTATTTTATCGGAGGAAATTTGGCAACGCCTGAAGGCTCATACGGTGTTTTCACGGCAGAATGTGCTAGTTGTCGAATTCAGCTAGAGCAAAAGGAAGAGCTGTTTCTCCCAGAAAGTGGCTTAAAAATTACGATGAGCGTATCGGAAAAGTCTGAAATACACGTTTCAGACCGTGCCATAATCAACATAAAATTTGTGTTGGTTCGTGTTTCGCCTCTTCTATGAAGCAAAAGTAACACAAGAACACAAATATTTTCATCATTGTGTCCGGTAGCACGAATGTGCTACGCTGATGTTTTTTCACGCCCAACCTCTCGTCTTGCGCTACCTGTGGAACCGTGGCTTCACTCGGCAGCGTTTATGGGCTCATTCATAGCCCGAGCTGCTGGTGAAATTTATGGGAGCGGTTAGGTCCGCGTTGATGTAATCGGAGATGACTTCGTTGATAACATGGAAAAATGTCTGCTCCTTCGGGTTTATGCGTTTAACGTGGCTTGTTTGTGATTGAGCACGTAAGTTCCACGTGCCATAATTCATGCCGTGGGAAAACGCTATGTAAAAATCTGAATGCTATCAAATGTTTCCTAATGAAAAAGAAATTTTCCGGTGCAGCAAATTAAAAGCACAAAACGTAAAATAAAATATTAAAGTGCTTCCAAAATCATTAAATTTGACACGGCACACCTTAATATTTACAAAAAAACAAAAATTATATTTTCCTATAATACATATTTTTTTCCATCAATTTAAATGAGAATAATTCATACAGAGTGTGATAAAATTTCCAAATCATGAGTTGAGAAACTAAACGCAGACTTCGAGAGTTTAAATATTAGAGCTTAACGCAGAGCAGCGTGCTGCTAGCGCGTGACGTGCGCTGGCGCCTACAAACCTAACAGGGATACTTCACGCATTGCGCAATGCGTGAAGTATCCTTGTTAGGTTTGTAGGCGCTGGCCGCTCGCCCGCCGAGCCGTAACGTGCCGCGGCGCCTCAAGCAACTATTTCACAACAGAGGTGTTGCACAGTATCATACGGAATCGAAGGCGCTCCAACACACTAAGAATGACAGGCATTCTTTGAGAGTACAGAGCTTTCATCGCAAGATAAATCACGTTACTACGGCAAAAAAAAAGACAAAAAAATTAAATATAATCAGAGCAAAATTGACTCAATTTAAGCAGAAACATTCCTCAGTATGCCGTCAAGAAGATTTTATTTTGAATCAAAAATAAAATAGCCGATGAATGCGGATTTCTGCTGGATTTAAGTTACTTTTCAGATCATCACACGAGAATTTTTATTTGTTTCAGGATGGATCACTCCTCCTTGCGACCATGGAAAGTAGAGAATGACACGGATGAACGAAATGAAAAAGCAAGACGCGCCTACCAAGCCATGCTCATCGTATCTGCTCGGACGCCGACCAATGATGCCTATCAAAAGTTTTCCGATGAGGTAAAAAATCATTGTTTATAATATGTTAGGGGGCTACGCCACCAAGCCACTATGCGGCTCAATTCCAAAAGGGTGCTTCGCGCATTTCAAGACCCGCAAACCCTTGCGAGTATGTCTAAATAGATGTCCAATACCATCGAAAATTACAAAAATTATGAAAATCGGCCCCATATACCTTTGGAATGAATTGTGACAAGAAATTGAAATTAGAAAATTCATAACTGAATCGGTAAAAAAGACACATTTCCATCCTCCTCTGATGCAACGTGAGGAAAAAGCAGCAGTAGGTACTTTAGATGCATGCTCGATTTGACTCGAGGATACTTTGGTTTTCCCCGAGTGGAAAATTTAAAAAGATAACGTAGACGAAAACCCTTTTCTAAACTACGAGTAGAATTTGAGTATTCTCAATGCCCCCATCGTATTTTACGTAAAATTTTGAAAGGGAACATTTATTCCACCGGAGAAAAAGTCTGTTAGATTCAGAGTCCAGACTCTTAAAAAAACCGACAAGAATAAATACTCTTGATTCAATCGGATTTTTCTTCAATTAAATTCATTTTTCTATTCTTAAATTTGTTTTCTTAAATTCTGAATTGAGCGCGGGTGGGCGGGAAGGAGGCGGGGGTCGCCTCCAGGGAAAGCGTTTTTGGAAAAAAAATTTATACCACGAAAACTTTGTTTTACCCAAAGAATTAACCCCTTCAATATTCGTACTTAATCTTGGGGCATCCTATATAGAGTTAAAACATGACGAATCGATCAAAGAGTATATCACTCTCCAGCCGACCAAAAGTCTCCAAGATGACGTGACTAGCGGGCCCGACGTCAAAATGAAAAAAAAAGAAAAATTAATACAACTCTTGTCCAACAAAAGCCGGAAACACGTGGGCCGGTGGCGGAAGGGGGGGGTGAAAAATGTCGGGGCACGAGATTAGAACCGCGGGAACAAACCCGGGCCCAAAGCCTTATTAATTGGCGCTATCGCATTCACCCCCTGACGATGATTAATCCCACACCACCGCCGCACAGTGGATCGAGTCGATCGGAGAAGTTTGACAAAAGCTGGAAACTAGTTAAAGCTCATATCGATAGTGAAACTACCAAACCACGTATCTCGGTTTGCGGCGTCGCAGACTTCCTGTAATACTTTATTTTTTAAATGAAAAACTACTTAATGTCCAGTCTTGAGAATTTCTGTGATTTTTCCTCTTCGTGCGAAGAAAATTCTGTGAAAATTTCAAGGAATGATGTTGATTTGGTCTATTTCAAAAAAATAAAATGTGAGCGTAGATTTTTAAACACCGCAAACGAGATACGTGGTTTGGTAATTTCACCGTCGATATTATGGTGATACGGAACGTGGATGTTTTAAAAGGGGTTTCATAAGTTTTTAAACAATATTCCCTTCAAAAAGCACCTAATACACCTGTAAAAGTAACGAAATTGCATTAAAATTTGTTGACAATCTCCTGTCTGACCTTGCAGCAAGGACCGTGCCACTGTGCGCCAATACCGCTACCACGCTCAACAAGCAATGAACATAAATTAAATTCGATTTCGGCCGCTAAAACGCGCCACACGCACGTGCGCTTCCCCCACCCCCTCCCCTCGCTCGCGAATAATTCATTTTATCTGATCCCCCGTCCAGGGTCTATCCGCTTTGTGTAATAAACCGATCATCGATGTATCGAGGTTTCACAGGGCGTTCTGCACCGCCTGTGTCTAACAATACGAACCACTGGACAGGGTCAAAACTTAAGTATTGAAGTATATACTACATGTTAAAAGCGATGGAAAAATTTGCACTGTCGCTACACGAAAAAAATTAAATTGCTGATTTAACAATTGAATTGCTTAAAGAAGTGACTGCAACGTTTGAAAGTAGATTTAACAACAAAAAAATGCTACTTCAACAGTTATTGTAAGCTAATTTACCCACGGGGGTGGTTAAAGTAGCATTTTTGTATAGTAAAATCTACATTCAAACAATTCAGTCACTTTTTTAGCAATTAAATTGTTAAATCAGCAATTTAATTTTGTCCGTGTAAAGGGAGTTACGAGCCTACCCTCCTCACCATTCCAATTTTGAAGGAGCTGTAATTTAGCCAAATTAGGGCGGTTTCCGACTTCGGTATTGATTCTCAATTTCATTTTGGGAACTTCTTAATTTTTGGAATAGTGCATTTTGCGTAGAATTATAGTAAGATCAACCCCGCAGCCCCAATTTTTACCGAGATTTAGAATTAGATTTGTCTACTGTCACTGATGAACTCAGCGTCTCAAATTGTGCATCTATACCAATTTTCACGAATTGAAAGGAGCTATGCACAATTTCACCTATATCTCATTTACCAAGAATTTTTTAGGAGTTTTGGCAATCCGTTTAGTTCGAAGAACTCTTCAGCTTTCAAACAAACCACGAAAATCGAATACGGGCCATTATGAAGACACGCCAATGGTTCTTGCAGAACTTGCCCCACTAAAAAGTTTGAAAATGGCGAATACTTCCTTTTAGCATAAATAAGTCCAATTCAACGTATCAAATTAAAGGTGTACACCAATTTTCATGAGATGCGGTGCAGTGCTGTTGCCAAAATGCAGGCAAAACGATCAATTTCCCAGAACTTCGGGGAGGGGAGAGGGTAGCGGATGTTGCCCTCCAAAAAATGTTTGGAAAAAATTTCATCGAAAAAAAGTCTTATTTTGACCCATGGAGCCCGCTCATGCGAACTAGTTGTTTAACCTTGGATCACCCTACAAAAACCGAATGTTATTTTTTTAACGTACATGTAGTCCACATGGATCGCGTCTAGCAAAAAGGAACCAGCGCGATTACAGTGCTGTAAAATGTTGCTTCTCTATAATTGGACGTGTTTATGCGAAAAGGAACTATGTGGATGTGAAAAGATGGGGCACGCTCGTGGAAGCTGCATAAGAAACAATGTAAAAGTGGATATAGTTCCTCTTGAGAATATGGAAAAGTGGGATTTGACATTAAATCAAAAGGAAATGAGCAGCGCTAACTCGTGAGCCTTGGGCATGTGACAAGAGCCTTGAGGACAGGGCTCATGAGTTGAAGACTGACGACCTAGTCGTCATCGCCCGTGTCGCGCCTCGTCGCGGCCGTCCTCACCGATGACGTCACTGGCGCTTTTAAATTCCCATTCTTTCTTATGACCCGATCACTAGAGCACACCCCATCTGTTCACTCGCACATAGCTCCACTTTCGCATAAATACGTCCAATTATCTAAAAAAAAATTATCTCAGAATAGCATATAGTTGTTGCCTCCCACTAAAAAATTGTTAATTTCAAAGGAAAATAACTGTGTAAATACTGTACATATATTAAGTATTTTTAAAAGAAGAGGAAAATTTTCACCATTTTGAAAACACTTCAACGGAGATGTTGCATGTGTGAGGAATTTGCGATTTGACTATTGATACGTATGTAAAAGTTCGCGAGAAACACGACGGTGCCACTGGTTTTCTCTGAAATCAACTCCCAAGCTCAAAAAAAGCTCTCATGTTGAGCCCAAAATGGAGGGGATATCCCACGCTATCCTGAGAGTCCACCTCCACATCAAGTCGAACTCTCCATGCAAAGATAGGGAGCAAATACATTGACAGGGCTGCCACTTTATTTGGGGACTCCACAACTGAAAAATCGGCAACCCTGCTAATGTCTTTGCTCTCTCTCTCTCTTTGCATGGAGAGTTTGCCTTGATGTAGAGGTGGATTCTTAGGATAGCGTGGGATATCCTATCCATTTTGGCCTCAACTTGAGAGCTATTTTCAGAGAAAACCAGTGGCACCATCGTGTTTCTCGCGAACTTTTACATAAGAATCAATAGTCAAATCGCAAATTCCTCACACATCCACATCACCATTACGCTGGTTTCGTTTTGCTAAATGCAATCCAAATCACCCTGTACACACTTCGAAAATGAGCCGCGTCCACACCATGTTACGTATCGATTCTCTGCGGATGTATCGACGTTTAACGTCGTCCGCGCGGCTGTTTTGAATAATGTTTGACTCACGTCAATTGGGTTAACACCCCCTTAATAAATCGATTTCCACGTGTCTGCTATGATTTATGTAATTCCACGAGCGTTCTGTAATATATGGGGGATAGGAGGCAGAATACCCCCGTCCTTGGTTGCGCTGAAATTAATTTTTAATAAATTGACCCGTGCGTTGATAAAGTCCGTGCGGTCGGTCGTTCTTTGTCAGTGACAAATTAATTGGGCGATAATTACTTTAACCAACCGTCTGGTGGACGTATGAAATTCGGTTATGGCAAATAGGTTCTCTGGTTGTTTTGCCTCGGTTTATGTAGAACGACAACGAATACGCCAGATATGAAGAGTAATATCATGAAATTATATGAAACGAGTTCAATTTTTTCAACTCATTGCCCTTTAAAGGACGGAAATAAATGCATGTCTCTAGGGATATGACATGACGTACGCACAGAATAATTCAACGTCAATAAGAGTCCGTTTATTGGTCTCTCTGAACCGGAGTTTTTGACCCAGGCGCGACTAGATTAAATTTGTTCGTTTTTGGAAGCGCTGATTAAATGGTCCTCTAGGGTGTCAAGACGCGTGAAGTAAAGTTTGCACAAGAAAAAAAAAAGAACACTAAGGAACGTGGTCTAAATTGTATGTAACAATGTGATAAAATAGAAAAAACTCTTAGATCCACTCTTGTTACGGGGAAAAGAAGGCCAGAAAGTTCCATTTTTTCTTTTAATTGAAACTATTTGGCCTTGAATCTTCCACAAAATAATGTGGACCGAGCACTATTTTACCACCTAATTACGTAACATTTTTTGTGAGATTAATGAAATAATTTATATTCTGATTATTTTAGGTTGAAACTATATTATGTTCTAATTTAATAGTTTCATACTGCCAGTTGAAACTCTTTCCTGATTTAACAAAACGTCTCTATGTAATTTATCCACTAGAAAACTGTGATTCGAGAAATATT